GCTGTTCAGTCGGAGCAGAGTGGAACTCGGAGTAGAAGAGAGGTCCAGGGGTCAGCTAGATGATCTCTTGGCTGGTCTGGGGCTTTGTGGCCCCAGAAGGGTCGGTGGATGAAGCTTTAAGTGAGGGTTTTTATTTGTTTAAAACGTCTGTATAGCCACTGGAGTTAAAACCAAACTGGGTGGCCGAGAGCCCAGCAGTAATAATAAACAGAACTATAAAAAGAAAATGAAAACCCAAAACAGAAAAACCTCCCCCCCCCTTCTCATCCTGCCCTGAATTTGCCCCATCCTCGCGCCTGAAGGTGGCCTGAGCTCTGTTGCCCCAGGAGAGCCAGGGCCTGTTGGCATCACTGATGCCCGAATTTCCTAGCACTCCTCCCCAAGTGAGGCTACCTTTGGGGTGTGAGAAGGCCGATGCTTCGCGGAGAGGGTCTTGGCCGCTGCTGCCCCTTCATGTTGGATCCTTTTCCAGCCTCTTTGGCTCCTCTAAGGCTCCAGTCGCTGAGGCTGCAAACAGAGGTGGGGGTTTTCCCCCTGGGCACCCCAAGCTCCTGCACAAGAGAAGCAGGCGATGCCAGGGAAGGAGGGGGGGGCCCACAGCCGCCATGCTTGATCAAGTCGCAGGGGGGTCACAGCAGCCCACTCTGAAAGTCGGTTAGCTACCTTGGCCTCCTCTGGTTGCTTCCCAGCTGCAGAGTCTTCCCGACCCCCTCTTCAGTCAGAGAGCTTTTTTGTTCCCTCCTTAAGGTAAGTCTTCCCCACCTGTGAACTTTGTCAACACACAGTTTTCAAGAAATTATACAGCACTTAGAACCCCGTGTCGATGTTGCTAGTTTCTCTGGGGAGGAGATATCACTACAGAGATCCCCCCCCTTTTGTCCTCCCCAATGAGGGGGGAGTGTGGGAGAGGGGCTTCTGCGGGATTCCTCGCTAGGCAGCTGCTCTGACCAATCCAGCAAAGCAGCCAAAAGAGGCTTAAATCTCCAGTTGGCTCCATGGCCCCCAAAGGGGGGTTTCCTTGGGGTGCAGTCTTGGCATGCTCTGCAGCCCAGGCCATCGCCAAGCAGTGGCAGGGGAGGGCCGGGGGGGGGACTCCCTTTAACTTTGCCTCAAACTGCAACCAATGCTGGAAAAGCTGGGAATTCTGTTGGGGTGTGCGGATGGAAATGTGTCTCCAGTCCTTCCGTAATCCGTTCCAAGATAGGAGGGGACGGCCATTCCTCCCAGCCAGCAAGCAGCAATAAGGCCTTAGGGCAGGGGTAGGCAACCCTGGCTCTTTTATGACTCGAGGACTTCAACGTCCAGAATTCCTGAGCCAGCATGGCTCAGCTTGGAAACCTCTCCCCTTTCCCCTCAGCTGGCTGGCTAAGGAATTCTGGGAGTTGAAGTCCACGAGTCATAAAAGAGCCAAGGCTGCCTACCCGTGGACTAGGCCTACCTGTTTCTGATAATCTACTCCTGTCAGGCTTAATAGACTAGGCCAGGGGTAGGCCACCTTGGCTCTTTTATGACTGGTGGACTTCAACTCCCAGAATTCCTGAGCCAGCATGGCTCAGCTTGGAAACCTCTCCCTTTCCCCTCAGCATGGCTGGCTCAGGAATTCTGGGAGTTGAAGTCCACGAGTCATAAAAGAGCCAAGGCTGCCTACCCGTGGACTAGGCCTACCTGCTTCTGATAATCTACTCCTGTCAGGCTTAATAGACTAGGCCAGGGGTAGGCCACCTTGGCTCTTTTATGACTGGTGGACTTCAACTCCCAGAATTCCTGAGCCAGCATGGCTCAGCTTGGAAACTTCTCCCTTTCCCCTCAGCATGGCTGGCTCAGGAATTCTGGGAGTTGAAGTCCACGAGTCATAAAAGAGCCAAGGCTGCCTATCCCTGCCTTAGGGCATGGCCACTTGGGGAGAATGCCAAGATTCCTCCTCAGGATGGTGGCAAGGAGGAAGAGGGGAAAACTGGTAGCTGTCCTCTTCCCAGCCAGCCAGGGCCCTCTGGCACAGCCCCTGAGCTGTGGGAACTCCCGCATCAGAGCCCCAGAGCAGGGGGGGGGGCATTCCAGAGGCGGATGGGGCTCTCTGGGCATTTGCAGAGGGAGTCTGAAGCATGCCAAGTGCTGATCTTCTCCGGTCTCAGGTTTGGCCCTACTGCCAAGCACCAGCCCAAATAAAACATTGCAAATCCTCTGTTAATGCACAATTCCCGTGGCTCCCATTGACTTTGCTGGTCAGCAGCTGGCAGTGAAGGTCGCAGAGGGCAAATGTGTGGCAGCTGTGGGAACGTTGCAACACGCAGAACTTCAAGGATTGGTTGTAGATACCCCCTGCTTGGTGCCGCTGTGCGTTCAGTTGGTTGCTGAACCGGTGGCCCTAGAGCGAGGATCACCTGCAAACAGGTGAGGAGAGGGAACCTCTGAGCTCTTGGAAGGTTTGAACAAGAGAGATTCAAGAGCCCAGCAGGATTCCCACCCCTGCCAGGCAGGCCCGTTTTCCTTTTCAGGGCTGCCCCCAGCTGGAGGAGAGCTTTAATTTCTGTGCAGCTTGAAATGAGGCCTATGACTCCGTCTCCCCAGCTTGCTGACCGCTCTTGTCTGAGACGTAATCGGCCAGGAGGGCCCCGACAGTCTCTAGGGATAATCATCTGGCAGCCCCAGAAAGTGCAGACGTGGCTGCATCTTATCAGGGACAGACAGCCCCACTGCAGTCCCTGTTGAAGAAGCAAGGGAGGCCGAGGGGCCTAGGTGCCACTGAGGCCCAATGAGGCTTCAGCCATTGCTGGCAGAAGCCCAGGCCAGCTCCGGCCATGCGGCCTCAGCCAGGCCTCTTACCACAGGCAGCGGCAGCCCCAACCAAGCCAGGCGTGACATTCTCTCTGCTGCTGTGGGACATTGCAGGGGCACTGGCCAGCATGGGGTGGTCAGGTAGTCCCCATAGAATCAACTTGTGAAGGAGGCCAAAGGATTTGGGGGGGGGCTCTCAAGGGGGTCTCATGTCTAGCCTTTCCACGTGTTTTCCCACCTGCTGGGGCTGCCCTTGGCTGAATCAACAGTCTCTCACCAGGCCTGTCCACTCCTGCATTCACTGGCCACAAACTCACCCAAGGCAGAGAGTGCTGATCATCATCTTTACTGCAGCCACTGTCTCAATACCGGCCCCCCAGCCCCTCATGCTCCCCCTATCCTCCTCCTCTGGAGGGTCTCTTGCTTGGCTGCTGAGATTCTCCCCCCTCCACTTGCTCCAGACTGGTGAACGTGGGGTGTGTCGTGAGGAGTGCCCCCCTAGAATCTTTACATTTCTCCGGTGGGTCCTCCAGGGTGGCAGATCAGAGAAGCTGAGCTGAGGTCTGTTGTGGGACCCCTCGACCGGGGGGGGGGTTCATTTGTCCGGGGCAATGAAGACCCTGATCTCCAGTGGGCAATTGGGGCTCCCCCCCCCGCTTCTCTCAGAATTCGCTCTCTTGAAGTGCATAAGTTCAGCCTCCCCCCCCCCCCATCGCACAACATACACGGGCAGGCGGCAGAGAGCGGGACGAGGGTCTCTCAGCAGAAGGCCTCCGGACGCCCCCGCAGTGCTTTCCGCCAGCACCGGCCCTGCCCGCTTGCTGGGTTTCGTTCCGGCTCCAAGTCCCCGGCCGGGAGCCCGCTCGGCGGCGGCGAAGGAAGCGAAGCGAAAGCACTTTCCTATCGACAGGAAGCAGGGAAAGGACCGGCCAAAACGCCGCGTCCCCACCCCGAGCTGAGCGGAGGAGAGCCGTGAGCGCCCCCGCCCGCCCCGGCCACCGGCTGACAAGGAGGCGACAAGCCGGCCCGAGCTCTGCCGGGCCGTCCGGCAGCAGCGCCCGGAGGCGAAGGGAACGGAGCGCGGGACGCGCGGGAAGGCGGCCGCGTCAGGGAGCGGGCGGCTGCCGGTGCCTGGACGGGGCAGAGCCGCCGACGGTAAGCGACCCCCGGACCCGTGGTGGCCGGACTGCCTGCCAGGAGTAGCGGGGGGAGGCGGGCGGGGTCCCGGGATGCTTCCCCAGAAGAGCCGCTGCTCTCGCCAAAGGGGCGCCCGCGGGGCCCTCGCTCTGGGTTCGCGGGAGGGGCGGCGGCTGAGGCACGAGGGCGGGGCAGGTCGGGCGTCCGGCGGGCATCCGGAGCGCAGCTTCGTGGGGCCCCCGAGAGACAACGCCTTTTCCTCAGGGGCCCCTCCGGCCCTCGCTGGGGAGCAAGCCGTGGCGGGGCGAGGAAGGGGTCGTCATGGGCGCTTCTGGCCCCTTGAAGACCGCACGGGGCGGAACGCAGGCTTGGGGTCGGGCCGGGCAGTGCCGGCCTCTCTTAGGCGGGGGGCACCGGCCGGGCTGCGGGCAGGCACGCTCCGGGACGGGCGTCGGGCAGGAGCGGATCTTGGTTTATCTCCTCAGGTCGGAGCCCCTGAACCGCCCGCGCCCTCTCCCGCCGCTCAGTTTGGCTGGGCTCACGAGGGCGGCCCTGGCCGCTTCCTCTCTCGTCCCCGGAGAATCCGGCCTTGGCGAGCCGCGCAGCCCGAGAGGACCTCCCGGCCGGGCTCCCCTCGGAGGCGCTGAAGCAGCAGCCTGGCCCTCCCTCCCTCTCTCCGCCGAGCTCCGCTGTCCCGCCCCCTCCCCGGATGGCGGTAAACCTTCCAGGAATTGAAGCAAGCGGCCCAAAGCCAGGGAGCGGTGCCCCATGTGGGCCTCCCCGGGCTGCTTCTAAACTTCTCTCCCTAGCAGGATGGGGCACATGCCAAGGAGCGCGACCCCTCCCCAGCTCACGCTAATTCTGTCTCCAGCTGGCATTTCCCCCCCCCCTCAGGCTGCCTGTTGCAGCTCCTGATGTTAGTGGGAGAGCTGGGGGGGGGGGGAGGAAATCTCTCTCCCCCCCCTCCCCCGCTTGGCTTCCCAGCCTGTTTTCCCCGGGAGGACCGAGCAGCTCCTCCCTCCCGAGGCCGCCGGAGAGCTGCTGGCGCTTCCATCTAAGGAGCGGCGCTGGGCGGCCTTGCGAAATGGGCCCCGCGTGTCCCTCGGTCCGGGGTGCCGGGCCAGGGAGACCTGCCGGCCAGCACCGCTGGGAAAGCCTGAGGAGCCTCCTTGGGCTCCTTTGCCCAGAGGGGGATCGGCTGGTCCCGGGATGGGGAGCCCGCTCCCCAAGATAAAACGGGAAGGCAGCGCGGCAACCACGCAAGAGGGGTGGTCGGAAAGAGAAGCAGAAAGGCGCTGCCTTCCACAGCCGCCACTTCCTCCTCTTCGCTCCCAGCCCAGGATCTGACTGTGCAACGTTTTCTGGTCAGGTTGCTGCCCAGATATCAGCGGTGACATTACTGGTGACATTACTGGTGCCGGTGCAGGCCTCCCCCCTCCTCCCCAAGGCAAAAAAAAAAGCAATGGCCTGAGGGATTTCCGCTGCTTTCATGGTGCTGGTTACTGTCCCGCCTGCCTTTGCCAGTTCCTGCAGATGGTGGCATCAACCCAGGCTAAACACAGCTAGCTCTGGAGAGGACAATTCCGGAGTGGGCCTGGCGGGAGGGACATGGTGCCAAGCTGATTTCTTGTAACTTGCCTGGCCTGGGAAGGGGCTCTGTGGGCCTTTCAGGATGAGCCCCCTCCTGCCAAGGGATGAAGTCAGTGGTTGTGTATCACACTTTCTCACAATCGCAAGGTTTGATGAATAAGCCACAAACCCCCATTCCTGGTCTCATTTCCGTGCCTGAGTTTCGTGACCTGCCTGGTGTGGGTAGCATGAGAGAAATCCACCTTCTGCCCACCCCAAACTTTGACCCCCGGAGGGGATGCGGCTTTTGGACTCGTGTTCAGAGTCTCTTTTTGCCCTGTGCTAAAATACTCGGAGCCTGTTTCGTTTTAATTCTGTACGTCTGACTGGAACTGGTAAATATCATTTACTTTCTTCTTGGGCAAAATGAAAGAAGATTAAATAAGCGATATAGAATTGCTTCATGTGTTGGATAAGGTAAACACAATTAAGAGGGATTTAACTATTTATATTTTAAAAGCTCTGCCTCTTTATTCCTTCATGCTGATTTGTGTGAATTTATAGTGTATTCTTGAAGTTCCGAGCAGAAACATTTTTTCAGAATCTCGTATGGAAATGACAGCTAACAGCTATCCGTTGTCAAAGGAGGCTCCCATTTTCTATCATTTCAGGCACATCGCTGGGCGTTTATTTTTAGCACTGGTTTTTCTTGGGGAGGAATTTAGAAAAGCCAGTGTTTACTGCAGCTGATGGGCCATGGATCTGGGGCTTACCCTCCTGCTCTTAAGGCTTTTACATTATACAGGAATGCCATCTAAAAATACCTGGTAGATCTTGATGTGGGGGGGGGGCGGGAAGGGGGGGGCTAGGCAAGGCTTTTCGCTCTGGGCTAGCTGATTTCTGAAGACACTTTACAAAAGTTTGCATAGAACTTAAAGCTGTGTGCAAAGTGGTTCCTGGCATGTTCTTTGCTTTGGCGCCAGTATCTGAGTGGCAGGACAGCTGGACTTGCGTCTTAGCCAGGGGTCCAGGAGGGAATCCATTCAGATTCTGAAGCTGGCCTGTATTTCTAGAAGATGTCGAAGGAAGTGGTGAAACTGACGTTAACTATTTATGTGACCCTGGGGACATGCAGCTCGTAGCACCCGTTCTTGTAAAACAGTGTGAGGGTGCTTTAAAGGATGTAAAATTAGTTACATTTGATCTTAAAGTGAGGTTAATACAAATAAGGTGGATGGACAGACGGATAGACGGACAGACAGATAAGGATAGGGAGGAAGAAGTTTGTTGGGTTGATCTCTGTCCTGCTGTTGACGTTCAGAAGTCAAAGCTAACTCCGGCCTGACCTCATCCTATTTTTCTATTGTTTTTCTGTTGGGGGTTGAACTCCTTAAGTTTGTTAACAGAGTTTGGAATCAATCAATGTCAGCTGAGGTTGGACATGACCTCATACGGCCCCTTCCTCGGTCTCTGGAATCTAGACATCAAGAATTGTAGACTTTTTGTGGGGGAGCAAATGGCCAAGGAAATTATGCAAGCCCAGACAGACAAATTTGCATCTGATTTTCAATGGGAATTATGGATACACATTGTATGCCCTTGATTATTATGCACCACGCAGGACCCAGCGTGGTGCATAATAATAATAATAATAATAATAATAATAATAATAATAATAATGAAGTTGGAAGGGACCTTGGAGGTCATCTAGTCCAACCCCCTGCTCAGGCAGGAAACCCTATAGAAGAGGCTGTCCTTTAAATTCCTGGGCTGGGGGTTGAAATAGGTGGTCTCAGGGACCATGTTCAACTCCAGGACTCCATGAGTTCTGTTGGCTAGGTAAAAGACTCTTTAGTAAAATGGCAAAGGAAAAAAGAGTTATTTTGTGGGTGAAATGTCTGTGGATCTTCTCACTCCTCCAGGCCACGGTTGTCCCTTAGCTGCTTTTGCAAAAGGCCACTGGATTTTCTTGGGTTTTTTTCCCCCTTGAACTGAACTGAAGAAGCTTCTTGGATGAGAAGCAAAATGTGTTCAGGGAAAAAAAAAAAAAAGTTGTGGATGAAATATTTTCCAGTTCTTTTAAAATACTGACAAGAAGTCACATTGTTCATATTGTCACACATATATTTTCCCTGTCAATTTGTATTAACCCTCCCCCAATCTTTAAACATGTTTTGGGGTCAGGGATGTGTGGACAGCAGGAAGGAAGGAGACTGTCCAGAGAAGAAAAAGCAGAAATGGAGAAAGAGAAGTGACATAATACGTTGCAACTGTTTATAATTGTCTTATGTCACTGGTTTGAGATGGGCAACTATAGAAATTTCTACCTGCTCCCATCTTTATTAAGCAATTCATGGCGCTGGTCAGCCAGAGGGGAAGAGGTGCCAGGCCAGGGATGTGAGGCTGGCGATCAGGGAGGGCAGCCAGCAGCCTCACTGGCCATGGGCTGCCCTTCACTCAGCCCCAAAGAGATTCCAGGCTGGCAGAGGGGGGGGGGCTTTTCTTGGACACCCCTAGGGCTGCCAGGAGGGAGAACTTGCAGGGGGTGTAGTGGGTGGGTATGTCAGCAGGGGGGGCTTTGAAGAAATGCGATTCCAGGAGCAGCAGCAATAGGTTTGAGGGCTGGATAGACAGATGTTCTCTTGGCTCAGAAAGAGGTTTCTGCGTCTGCTGCTGGCATGGAGAGCTGGACTGGCACCAAGGTGAGGAAGCCCTCCCCCTATGCCTCTTCCCACCTGGAATAGGACAGGTAGCCCCTTCCTATTTTCAAAGAGCCCCAGAGCAAGCCACCTGCTTGACACAGACCTAGCCAGATGGTGGCAGACAGGTGTAATCGGACCCGCCAGGTGACCTGTGTCTGCCTCCCTCCTCCAGTATGAGCAGAGGGCCCACCAGCCCCTCCAGTGACGTCCCTCTCTCTCTCTCTCTCTGGCCCAGGAGCTGAACTTGTGCTGGTGGGGCTGCTGACGGGATGCCCCTCTTTGCGCCATCTGCGGGCAGGAAGAACTGGAAGGGTGAGTGAGCAGAGTGGCCCCCCTCCAGGATCTCCCCTGCTGCCTTTGCCTTCTGGGGGTTGTGGGGCGGGCTGGGTGTCTGGAAGCCCCATCTATCAGGAGGATGAGGGTATGTGGAGACCCAGAGTGAAGGAGATGTGGCCCGGTGATGAGTGGGCTTTCGAACACCTTTATTGAAGAGACACCAACTCCTGGCCCAAAGGAAACAAGCAGTGTGTGTGTGTGTGTGTGCGCGCGTGCGCGTGTGTACCTGCAGAATATTTGTCTTTCTCTGAAAGCATCACAACATCACCCTGGACTTTGCCCTCTCCAGCAGGACTATGGGAGGATGTTCTGGCAGGCCTTTGTTTGGGCAAAATTCCCCCGTTTTCTTCCATCGTCCCTCTTCTGCAGAAGTTCAGAATCAGGCCCTTCCCCTGGGCATCATGCGCGTAGGTGAAGGCCAAGGTGAGGGGGGGAGGATCACGGGCCAGTCGTAGTCCAGAAAGGCAAGGCCTGGGAGAGTTTGAGTTTGCAGGATCCGCTGAGGAAGCTCCACAGAGCAGGGGGAGAGCAGGGCAATGCCAGTGCGGTTCCCAGGGTCGCGTGCTCCATGCTGTGAGTATGGCCAGAGAACGACAATCTTTGTTCACACTGAATGTCGTCACCTGCAAGAGTCCCATTCTTCCCGGGGGGGCGGGGGGGGGCTGTGGTCGTGCTTACACCAGGGCACACCCTAAATGCCAAACCCGACTTCCTTCCTGCTGCCTCTGCTCTGCTCAAAGTCACCCAGAGGTTTGCCAGGGGATTCAGCTCATCCTACTGCTCTTCTGATCAAATGTCCAGGGGAGCAGAAGACCCCTTGGGACTGGATGTCCTGAGGACTTTTCCATCTCCTTCCTTGTGGGGTTGGCGTGAAGGCAGCCCAGAGGGATGGACGGGGGGGGGGTCAGCCTGGCCACCTCTACAGCTAGATTTTACAAGCAGGAACTGGGGAGCCCTCTGCCCCTCCCAATTGGGGTACCCCAAAGAGGAGGCCCTCCCTGTTCTTCTCCCCCCTTTCATAGTCACCTTGGATGATAGGGAGCCTTTTTTTCGTGAGAAGGAGACTCCCACAAGCAGGAGCCCAAGAGGAAGCCACCCCACAACTGCTATCACCTGAGCTGCTTCTGGAGCTCCTGGTCTGGCCCCATTCCTGGGCTCTGCAGCCCCCCCCCACAAGGGGGACAGGAGGCGGGAGCTCCTGTGAACACCCTTTTTGCCTCACATCCTGCAGGCTCTGTGAGGCCAAAGCCCCACACCTGTCCTCCCTCACTGTGGCCATTGAGCCACTCTGGATTTCAGAAGGCCCGTGTGACCTGAAGCCCTTGGCATTTCAGGGTGTTGCTTAAACGGGCAGGTAGATCCTTCTTTGAAGGGCAGCCATTCCCTGCCCTCAGCTCAGCCCCCTGCAAATGCCAGGGAAGGGTGGGGGGAGCATGGGATTGGCAGTTCCTCCTCCTCAGCTGGTCCTGCAGAAGGAGGGGTCCTGCAGTGCTGGGGCAGGGAGGGGGGGGGGTCATCACATCCGTTGACTTGATCTGCAGAGGGTCTTCCCTCAAGAGTCCCAACCCCACAAAGCATCTTTTTGAGTGAGGTTTTTATTTCTTTGTTTTTGCAAACCTCCATCAAAATGCAGGGGGCAGAACTAGTAAGTTGGATTTGTACATTTGTGTCTGCACTTGAAGAATTTGTGAGGTGATGTCCTGAAAATAGATGGTTGAAACCACTCCCTCCTCCCCCAGCTCTTGAGGCACTGGGGGGGGCTAGACCCGAATGGGGGGGGGTGTCTCTCCTTCTTGCGGGAACTGAATCAAGTGTTTGTGAGGAACAAGGAAACTGCCAGAGAGTGGCTGATCCATTGCTGTGCCAGCCGCCTGCAAAGGGGACCCAGGCCAATGCCCAGAAAGCCCCTTTGGGGGCCCATATGTGCCCCCAAATTTCCAGACTGCCACCAGCCCTCCTCCCCCTCGGCTCCTTCCATAGAGACTTGTCCTGGCCCTGTTGGGGGAAGCCAGGAAAGGGGCATTGTTGTCTGAGTCACACCTTGCTTTGTCCAGGGCAGCCCTCAGTCTGGCAGAGAGGAAGTGATCACAAGTGATTTGGAGCCACATAAGCCCTGGTGTGAAGCAGCCCTTCCCTCCCCCAGTGTGCCCAGGAATCCGTTGCTTGTATTCCCAGCTGATCCCAGATTTCTCAAGCTCCTGAGACAAACACAAGCCGAGTTTCCCACTTGGAATACTGCACACACTTGGAATACTGCATCCAGTTTTGGTCACCGCAATGTAAAAAAGATGTTGAGACTCTAGAAAGAGTACAGAGAAGAGCAACAAAGATGATTAGAGGTCTGGAGGCTAAAACATACAAGGAACGGTTGCTGGAATTGGGTACGTCTAGTTTAATGAAGAGAAGGATGAGGGGGGACATGATAGCATCCTTCTAATATCTCAGGGGCTGCCACAAAGAAGAGGGAGTCAAGCTATTTTCCAAAGCACCTGAAGGCAGGACAAGAAGCAACAAATGGAAACTAACCAAGGAGAGAAGCAACCTAAAACTAAGAAGAAATTTCCTAACAGTTAGAACAATTAATCAGTGGAACAACCTGCCTCCAGAAGTTATGAATGTTCCAACACCGGAAGTTTCTAAGAAGAGATTGGACAACCATTTATCTGAAATGGTATAGGGTTTCCTGCCTGAGCGGGGTTGGACTAGATGACCTCCAAGGTCCCTTCCAACTTTACTATTACTACTACTACTACTACTACTATTACTACTACTACTACTTTGGGAAGCAGCAGGAACAGGCTGTCAGGACCCCCAAACCCTCCTCTCTTTCCTTGGCCATATATTCTGTTTTTGGGGCTTGCCATTCTGTTGGGGGGAGGGGGAGCTTGCATGTACTTGGCATAACTTTCGCTTTCTATATTCCCCTCCTACGTCCGCCCCCTTGAGATAGGAATGGGTCTCCCTTTGTCAGGGAGAGAAACGAAACTGGAGACGACCACTGAGATGCGCGCCAACTGTGCCAGTTACCCGCTCATTGGACCACCTGTGGATTGGCTGGGTTTCAAATGAACATTATGACTTTGATGGGAGGAGGAATATTGCTTGCTTAACTATACCGTTTCGGCGGGCTTTTCCCCAGATCTCGCCTTGACTTCCCCACTGTCACTGAGCCCTCATAAAGGTATCCACAGGCTGTTCATTTTTGGACCCTTGCCCTGTTTTCTGAAAGGGGCACCTGCTAGGAGCCAGTCCAGCCCAAAGACCTGGAGGTGGCTGAGAAGTGGGAGAGCCGTGTAGCCCAACAGGCGTGGAAGCGGATTTCTTTGTGGGTTAAACCACAGGCAGAAACCCCTGGCTCGTGTGACCCGGGGGCCACTGATGGGAAGGGCTTTGCGCCCTCCCTTGGGGGGTCTTGGGGGCCCAGTGTGCCTGCCGCCCACTTGTGGGCAGCATTGCAGCCCTCTGTCTTCCAGCTGACCCTTCTCTCCCTCCAACTGTCACCAACTGACTCTCCCTCGGATTCTCCACAGCATTCCAGCCCCCCCCCCGCAGACCCTCGCTGCTTCTCTGGGCCCCAGGGTGTGGGTGCATCACCCATTCCCCCCCACCCACCCTGGGCTGAACCAGCCAGCTGCTGTGCTGACCATGCGGTCCCCCCACCCGACACCTCGACTGCCTGGGGTGCCGGCGGCAGGCTGGACATGACCCCTCCGGAGAGTCCCAGGTTGAGAACCCCAAGCGTGGCCCCAGGAACTGGTGAGCAAAGAGGGGGAGGCGGGAGGGGAGGCGGGGGCCCAAGAGGAGGAAAAGCCCGTTCTGCCCCCCCTCCAAGACCCAACCTGAGCCTTCATTGGTCTGGAAGGGGGAGGGGCCTCAGCATGAATGGGGGAGAGGCTGCTGGTCTGCCCTTCCCAACTGACTTCTGTGCCAAAAGAGGTGGAGAAGGGATCAGCAAATAGAAATATGGACACCCCCCAGCTCTACTCTGATCCCATTTGTGCCATGGGAAGGGAGCACCGAGGCCATCTTGAACCCACCTTGCTGGGGGTCCCTGGGGGAAATAGTAACCATGGTCCTCACCCAGAAGGGCCACCATCAAGACTCAGGCCGAGACTCCTGGAAGAGATCCCTAGAGCAGCTTCCAGTGCAGCCCCCACCCTCAAGGCTTTTGGAAGCCAATGTGGGGGGGGGCTTCCTACTTTCCCCTTTGGCCACCACCCGCCTTCCTCCCAAAGGGTTCTTGGCCAAAACGACAAGCAGTTGTGTGGTTTCCCACACTTGGGAGTCAGTCTGAGGGCTGCAGACTTCCTGCTTGCCCATTCAACCTGCCCCCCCCAGCAGCAGCCAAAGCAGCCAGTCAGTTTCCTGCTTTTCTTTCGGAAAGAACGACTTTCCAACTACTTTCCTTGGAGGCAAATAAATTGGTGAGGAAGGTCCAGACTTGGAAAACCCCACTTGCCCGTCAGCCTAAAGGGCCAGCCCCCCTCCCTTCCTCGCTGGGAACGGGTGTGCCTCGGGCCTTTGGCTGTGGAGCCCCTGTACAGGGAGGAGGCCATTGGTTGGCAATTCCCACCCACCCCTCCCGAAGAGGGAGAGCCCTGTCTGTTTAGGCCAGGGGTAGGCAACCTTGGCTCTTTTATGACTCGTGGACTTCAACTCCCAGAATTCCTGAGCCAGCATGGCTCAGCTTGGAAACCTCTCTCTTTCCCCTCAGCATGTCTGGCTCAGGAATTCTGGGAGTTGAAGTCCCCGAGTCATAAAAGAGCCAAGGTTGCCTACCCCTGGCCTAAGGCAAGAGTCTTGCAGCACCTTGTTTGATCAAAGCCTGCCACTCAAAAGTCTCACCCTCACCCTAACCACCCATGTCAGAGAGCTGCAGCCCCTGAAAGCCACCTGAAACAAGGCAGAAAAGATGCTGCTAGCTCCTTCTCAGTACTCCCTTGGGGAGTCTTGTTGTTGTTGTTGTTAATTGTGAA